AAATATTTAAACAGTTTTTCTTTATCTTTTAATGAAATAAACGAATTATATCGACAATATTAGTATCTGTACTCTTTAAAAATTTGGTACATCTTTAAAAGTAATCTAAAATGTCAATAGTCCATGGGTATATTGATAAATAAGTTCTAAATTACAAGAAAATGCATTTTCTACGGAAACTTAAAGAGATAGGTAAAAAATGGTATAATATAATTTGATAGACAATTAAATTGTGCATCTGATTCTCGTAAAATATACAGGGTGTTCAATTTAAATTAAACAAGTTATTGCCGTTTGAAGTTAATAATTATTTAAAATAAATTTTTAGACACTCTGTATAAGGTAGTATTATTTTTATTATTGCAACACAATAACTGATCAGTAAATAAACTTCAGTAAATATTTAGTATTAAAAACTTTGATACCCTTGGAGAAATGAAGCCTTAAAATTTTTACTGCAATTTCACAAAATTGAAAATATTTCAAAAACGGTAAGGTTTAAGTATAATAAACCTTAATCAAATTTACCTTTATTTTAATCTTAGAAACTAAAAATGTAATAATATACAGGGTGTTCCATTTAAAAAAATACAACTTTGATATTTTTTACTTATTTGGGACTCTCTGTATCTTGTAAAATTATTTTTAAATTGTACCTCTAATAGTCCTTCAACGAATCCAAAACTTACAATTTGTAAAAATCTCATCGTTTAGCTACAATACTCCGTGTCGTATGTGGTGAACAACCCTGTATAACCAACCAACAATGGGTGAAATATGAAAAATAAACAATGTACCTAAATAGTAAATGCTTCTTTGTACTCTCTTTGTTTGTTGTTTATAAACTGTGTATAAGTTTATTTCCAGAAATGTAAGCAAAACCTTTTACCACGTTATCTTTGTTCATTCCGCCCATTGTTTATTTGTTTTTACATAACTTCTCTTAGGAAATCATGCATGAACAAAATCAAACGACGCCTTATTGTTTCTACATACCTTGAATGTTGATAGCAAATGTTCTAGGCGCCACTTGGCCAAAAATTCTTCCACGCTGCTCATATTCGGTCTGGTTGTTCAAAGGGACTGATGATACTATACTAACACGCACGTAAAAGGTTGATCGCGCCACGAAGCAAATAGGTAACAATGGCTAATAATGCCAAGAGCGCCGACTTGCTACCAAAAGCATGGCTTTCAGCTGAAAAGTTTGACATTGGAGATAAAAGCATATTATTCCAATGAAAGGAGTAAGTTGAATCCACGCAAAATTTGGCCCAAATGCAACAATTTTCTGCTAAAATCCGATTTGCCAAAAAAGCAGGGATTTTAATTTGAAACTCTTAAATTTGACGTGAAAGTAATTCATTTGCCTGAAAGGCACAACAAGGCAAATGCACGGTGAATTTACCCCAATTGCAGTGGTTTTGTTTGGCACAAAAGCGAAAACGGCAAATGCGCGGAATCATTTACCATTAAAGCATTAGTTTTTTCAGTGTAATAATTACGTATTTATTTACGTATAGAATGTGTATAAAAAATGTCTTAAACCCATCCCTGACCATTATCTTTCGATCCACGCGAAACTTCGATACTCGACCTCGATTACACGCATTATCTCTCTCCTTTTTTTCCCTCTATCTCGACGGTTTTTTTTCCTTCTTATTCCATTCGCCCGTCCTCAATTTTATTTTCTATAAATTATTGTAATTTATGCAAATGTGATAATGGCGGGTACGCGGCGAATTTTCGCGCTGTCAGTCACGACCGGCAGATGGGGCGACGCCGTCTTGATTGACGTAACCTGTCATTTACGGGATATCGTCTTCCTCCCCCCTTGCCCCTTCAGCAGCCTGCAGAAAGCGTTCTTTTGACCATAGAGCGGTTCGGCTTTAGTAAACTTCGATCGGCCGCGGGCTGATTCCCAAACTTATCTCGTTTTTTTTGTTGTTTTTTTTTTTGTTTGGGTTCAACAATAGTTCACCATTTTATACCCACACAGCCTCAACCATCTTGCGTGTACAGGGTGTTTAGAGGTATTTATTGCAATAGCTATATAGGTTTACCTACTGGAAGTATTAAAAAATTCACTTTAAATGTAGGATTACCAAGGTAACAAAATACGATCAGAAAGACAGTTACAGTTGAAGATTATAACTTTTTTACATGGAACACCCTGTATATTTTTAAACGTCTTTAATTTATTAAATACCTAAGTTATAAAATAATTATTTAGTATCCAAAATGTTAGATACGCTACTCAAAGTCAAATTGACGTAAAGTCGCAAATAAAAACAAATATGCAGGAAAAAATATACAGGGTGAGTCCTAAATAAGTGCCAATATTTTCAGGACTGGTAGATCTCGATAAAAGAAACATATTTTCTCTTTACCATTTTTCCGATAGGTCCAAAATAACCTAGTTATTTAATTTTGAAAATTTAAAAAAAAAATGATTTTTTTTAAATTTTGAGAGTCACCGGATTTTTTCTGTATTTGCATCCCTTTTATTGCCATAACCATAGAGTAAAACCGTAACTATGGTAACATGAGAGACTAAGAAATTATACCGTGGGAAAATTTGCGGTGAACAGGCTAAAATTTTTCGAAAAATATACCCTTACCGTTTTTGAAATAAGTCCAAAATAACCGAGTAACTTTACGTTGAAAATCAAATCCAAATATGTCAAATTGAAACGTCAAACAGAACTGTCAACAATGTGAATTCATGATGTATATTTTGTCTCTAATATACGAATATAGTATACTGCTTCCTTAACCCTTTTATTCCAGGGATATTACTATAAACACAATTTAACTGTATCCACAGATAAAGAAAAGCATGTAAAATTATTTAAACCGTCTCTAATTTGAATACGAGCCTCAGACAATGAGTTCGCGATACCAGATAGAGATATGCCCGCCACGGAACAGCGGCGTAACTCCCCTCTTTTCCCCTGGGGACGCGTTAAAACTAATTCCGAACCGGGCTTTTATCGAGATTTGACTCTGTAATTACCGACCGGCGCGCTGCGAGCCTAAAGCCCTTTCTCAACTAGTTCGTTTTACCCTCCCGCCACTACTTTGTTACCTTTTTTCTGTGTCTCCTTTTTTGAAGTTATAACTTAAAAAACATATCATACAGTCTCAGAGCTTTAACAAAAGCCATCAATGTCTGACACTTTGAATAAGAAGACTAAGGAAGGAGCATATAAAAAATCTTAGGTCCTCCGCGATGGGACGCAAATATGGCCGACTTAAATTCCAGTTTATCAGTGCCGTTCTAATTTAATTTAAAAAATCTAAAACTATGATGTAGGGTAGACGTGAGATAGACTCAATAATTTTTTTAATTATTTTACGTTGTGAATAAATGTTGGTAGTTATTAAAATTGTTATAAAAACATATTATTATAATAAAAACAGATAATTTTTAATAATTATTTATTAACACAAACATCCGATACGCTACTGAAGCAGGTAAGTCAAATTAACTTATCTAAATTCTTTGACAAGTAGTAAATAAAAGTAAAAATGCAAGAAAAAACATATAATTAGTAAATTTAAGTGAATTTCATAAATGATCGGTTTACTACACGTATGTATATTATATAGTCACTTACTAGCGAAAAGTTGTTCTATTATTTCACTCGATTTTTGCCGAGATCTACCGCACGCTACACAACCAACTATTTTAGAGTCTTTTTCGATAAATCGCGATAGTGTCACTGTTAATTTAAGTTCTGCCACAATTTCCATCTAGATTTACTACCTTTATACAACTATCAGTAGTAGAATAAATAATAAATAACATAAAATAAGCTCCGTAAACACTGACAAATCCACAAAATTTCAAATCAAATTCAAATGAATTGTCAAACAGAACTGTCAAGGATCCCCACCCTAGAGTCCTTTTTCCGCCCACCATGCATGAATACATGGATAGCATTATGCTCCTTCCTTAGTCTTCTTATTCAAAGGTCTGACACGGTTTTATAGAGGTTAGTTCTCCATCTCACAGTTTTTTGTCGTCCCAGGGCACTCAATGATGAAGTGTTCTGGTGTTTCCCCACTTTGCCCACATAATCTACATATTTCTTAGCTTAAATCTACTGAAGTTTTCATTGAGTTCAACTATCTAAACAATGAAAGAATGGTATAATATAAATTATTTTATTTTTCAAGAAGAGAGACATTAAATTTGGTGGTTCAACTGAATCTCCACTGTAAAACAAGCAAACTTAAGGTTGTATCAATTTTTTTTACTTCTTCATACGATTGACGGTAATGCTGATGGCTGTGGTCGATTGTAAGCGCGTGCAGTGTGTACCGGGCCTTAGCCTGCTTTCGTGATGACCGATGATTTGTCGTAGGGTCGGGCATTAATCCGCCATTTTTCTTTTTGACGGCGCGGCGGCGGGGCTTGTCGTGTCCGCAATTAGTGGAAGAAGGAGTATTGCGATGATGAAGATAGCTGTTTGGTTAGTTGGGGTTGATATGGAAATGACTTAGATTTTTGGGGTAGAATCGTGTAGGGTGAAATTTTTAGATACATTAGAATAATGTTTGTAGGTAGAATTTTAACTTTTTGCTTTTTTTAAATATCTCAAATGGAAAAAATCTATTTATGTATTACAAACGCATAATCACTGCGTTATCCATCTCCTTGCCTCTCTCCGACATATTGGAATCTTGTTTATTTTACATGATTTGGCAAGTGTGCTACAACATCGGAATTATATCTTACTCCAGAGCAGAACTAGAGAATAAAAGGCAGATACGTAACTCTTTCTTAAATGTGACAAAATATTGCTCACTGGGTGGAGACTGAATCATATAGAATCATATTCTATATGATTCAGACTCCAGACACAATAATAATCTAGTTTAAATTGCATAAGGATGGATAAAAAATTGTTTATTAAAGTTTTTAATTATTGTTTTTTTTCAAATTTAGTGATTTCTTCGTATTGGTAGTACTGTAATTTCTGTTTTTTTTGCAGGTGATGCAAGTAACGCGAGCGTAGGCAGTGGGGAGGGTACAGGTGAGGAGGACGACGACACGAACGGGAAGAAAAATCAAAAAAAGAGGGGCATATTTCCTAAGGTCGCTACAAATATCCTGAGGGCGTGGCTCTTTCAACATTTAACGGTAAGCACTCATAATACATCACAATAATACCTAATTTGTATATTAGTAATATAAAAACTCTTAGTACTATAGTCTGTGAAACGAACAATTGACAATTCCCGCGGACTTTTCTAGTGTTAATTTTATTAGGTTAGCAACTTGCGGCCATGCTGACGCAATGCCGTCTCTAATAGAACAACCTCGGAGCGAGATGGTTCATAGTTTTATTTGCCAAAGTATTTATTACTATAAAGAGGTATTTATTAACTGTATATTATGTATATTTCATGTAAACTATATCATTTTTAAAATACAAACCAAAAATACGAGGAATAATTATTATGTTTTCCATGTATTCTACAATATATTTATTAATCCGTAGTATCTAACTAGCGTGACGTCATAAATCTCGCTCCGAGGCTGTTCTATTAGAGACGGTATTGGTCTGATATTTCGAAATGTCAAAAGTTGATGACAGTTTACTTTTGACAATTATGACATTTCGTGTTGATTTGTGCAAGAAGAGGAAGAACTGTCACTTGTTTTATTATTTTCCTTTTCTATTTCACGAAAGTAGAAAGAGTTACCTATCTGATTCGTTCAGGCACTCAATTTAAAGAATATCAGTAACTTTTTTGACAGAGGTATTTTATATGTGTCATGTTGGTAAAAAATAACGGTCAAAATTCAAAGTTATTCATTTTATAGACTATAATGAAAGTTGTGTCTAGATAGAAACCGTTTTATTCTAAATCATTTACAGTACAATTTTTTGCATCAAAGTTTTCTTGAAACAAGCTTTGAACTTCTAAAATGTCATATCTACTAAAAGACAGACAGACAGAAAGCTGAAACAGCACAGGAGAAAATGCATTTTAGTTTAATTTTAATATTTCACAAGCCCTTTGAAACCTATCGCGTTACCAAACCTTTCCACCACTATTTTCCGAATTTCCCGCTCCCACAGGACGTACCCGGTCCACCTGTCAAGCGGAATTAAAGGATACCCGTCGTTCCCTCGGGATACGATCGTCTAACTCCGTTTCTGACCTTCCTCTCTTAGGAAACCTCTTTCCTTTTTTTGCCTCTGTGTGTTAATATTTGATACTGTCACATTTTCGACGTCGTTCTATGCACGCCAATGAATATTTCAGAGGCGTAGAGGTCGGTCATTCGAAAACCTCCTGATCCGGGATTAGTGGCACGAGTCATTAAACGCGATCGTGATAATCCTGGGGGAATTGAGGGGGAGATCTGGTCAAAAAGGGGGATGGGGGATTTGAATAGAACTAGGAAAGTGCGTATAATATCTGGTCACAGAAAAGTTAAGTGTATTTCATTCGTCGTGTTTTAAGCAAAATCAATAATAATGTTATACCGTGTGTTTGCCGCTGTACTTACACAGGGTGTTTCAAAAAACATGTGCGATGGCTACAGGGTGTTAAAGTCTTAATAATTTTTCGATTTATTATAATTTTTTTCCAAGTAGGTACTGTTAGTGATTCAAATGAAATTTTGATGGTAAAAGTTCACTCATCAGAGACGTGTATATTATGGGTTATCACTAGAATATTTTTTTTTCGTAAAAAACATGTGCGCCACTGACTTTTTTCTTTCGGTGTCTAAATTGGGTAAGCCGTTTATTAATTTATATATTTTAAATATTTAATTTAATTATTTTATACAAGGTGTCCCAGAAATAAGTGCAAGTATTTTAACTGGTAGTATAGTTCAACCCCAGAAACACGCCGAAAATTTTGAAAATTCGGAATTTTATTTTTTATTTAAAAAAAAATAATTCCTCCATAATATGGTAACATAGGTATAGTCTATAAAATGAATAACTTTGAATTTTGACCGTTATTTTTTACCAACATGGCAAATATAAAATCCCTCTGTCAAAAAAGTTACTGTGTGAGTTAACAAGTGCCAGTTCTTCCTCTTCTTGCAAAAATCAACACGAAATTGCATAATTGTCAAAAGTAAAATGTCATCAGCTTTTGACATTTCTAAATACAGACTAATGCCGTCTCTAATAGAACAGCCTCGGAGCGAGATTTATGACGTCATGCTAATTAGATACGGATTAATAAATATGTTGTAGAATACATACAAAACATAATTATTATTCCTCGTATTTTTGGTTTGTATTTTAAAAATGATATAGTTTACATGAAATATACATAATATACAGTTAATAAATATAATATATACCTATTTATAGTAATAAATAGGTAATTCTTAGGTAGGCAGTTCTTTTAGTTTCAAAGTAAAGGAATTTTTCCAATTTTGTTTATTTCAAAAACTGCGACTTTGATTGATTTTGATGTTATTACAAATTTTGTTGTAAATATTATTCCTTATCTGAAATTGAAAACCGCGTTTCGCTAGCTACTGTAATTTTGGAGTTACGAATTTTTTAAATTTTGAACCCCCTCCCAAACCCCCTTACCAACCCCCCACCCCCACCAGAAACTAATGGCCAGATTCTCGGGTGCCACAGTATTTTTGAGCCAAATTTGATTAAAATCGGTTTAGCGGTTTTAGAGTTATCGTGTTACAGACGGACAGAGAGACAGACACCATGAAAATATTTTGTATTTAGGTCATTTATCCAATAACTCATTTTGAGTGAAATTAAAAAAACTTTTTTTTGTCGATCTTAATAACCATACCAATGGGTATGGTAGGCTAAAAATATTAAGACTTTAGATACTAAAAAACACTCCTTAGAGACTTTTTTACCCACACAACATCCTTATGTTGTTTTTCCACCCTCCCAGATGTCCCGACTTTCCCAAATTCCCGGAAAATATCCCAATTTCTTGGCGCTGTCCGCGTCCCCGCGGAGTTCGGTAAGTAGGACACATGTCTCCTTCGGCGCAAATCCATACATCGGACGGGATAAGGTCCTGAGAGCGGGGAGCGGCCGGATATACGAAACGTCGAGCCCGGAAATGAAACGCCGTAACGGAAAACGGAGCTGTTTTTTGTCGGTGGGACGGCTGGTCGATGAATTTGTCCCTTTTCCTGGGAATGGTCGTAGGGAAGATGGGAAAATGTGCTTTTTGGGGGATATTTTCGATTTAGAATAACCGTTTTTGGTGAGGAATGTTGGAGAAGATACTCTAAAAACCTATTTATTTATCCTTTAGGAGTATACCGGATGTTTGTCATATTCTGCCTTTTTTACATAGCATTGTATGACAGCGATGTAAACAGCTTAATGGAAAATCAAATGTATTAAAAAGAGATAAAAGTTGACTTAATATTTTGAAGACAATTCTCTAAAATGGGACATGCATATCGCCGCTTTGTCAAAAAAATTAAGCTCTGCCTGTTTAGCATTAAGATCTGTTTCTAAGGAACTTACTTGTCAGTGGCTAGAACTGTTTATTATGCACTTTTTGAGTCGCACCTCAGATAAGCCCTTCCATTCTGGGGTACGTGTTGTACGACTCAATTTGACCGCATTTTCAAGCTCCAGAAGAGACTTGTTCGATATTCACTGGGACTAAACAGCAGAACTTACTGCCCAGGACTTTTTTAAAAAATTAAAAATATTAACTCTTCCTTCCTTATTTATATTTGAATTTGTTTGCCTAATACGTAAGCATGTATCAGCTTTTCAAGAAAGGCTATCTCACACTTATCCACTCAGGAACGCGGAGCAAGATCTTTATACTCCACGCTCAGAGTTAGTTAAAAGTTCAATATTATACAACTCGAAAAAAATGCACAATCACCTACCATTTGAAATGAAATCCATAACATCATTTTCTTCATTTCGCAAAGCATTGAGGTCTTATTTACTAGACAAGGCTTTCTACGCCGTAAATGACTTATATTTTGATAATCGAATTTGATCTTGTAAACACTGGTCTCATATTTGCTATTACTATATTTACTATAAACTTACTAAATATTTTTGAATATTATTTTTATTTTTTTATTGTTTGACATGGTAAACATATAAATGTTTATTTTAAACAATAAGACTGACAATGTAATTTGTATACTTGTTTTGTATTCTCTTTTGTTTGTTTGCTTTACCTTTGTCTACAAATTGTAAAATGTTTTGACAATAAAGGTATTTATTTATTTATCTATTTATAAATTTCTTCTGTACGGTATTGCCGGATTTTGCATCAACATTTCAAACCGCACAAGTAGGCGTTTATCAAAAATATTGCATCTAGGATTGGGACTTTATTTTTTACAACTAGTTACTGATTTTACTACAGAGCTGTAATAGATTATATTTAGTTTACATATATTATCATCACTTCCATAGTATATATGGAAGTTTTTAAAATAGTTATTTTTTTTTCACACATTTTCCTACACAGGTAAAAACCGGCAACACTATGTGCCCTTGTTTATTTTGTCTCTCTGTCTTTCAACCGGTCATTTATTTGTCATCTCTTTCGCATGCGTTAAAATACAGGCCACGCAGGTGAAGTGTCCAGGATGGTATATCAAAAATTGAGATATGAGACGACATTGTCAATTTTTGACATTTTTGCTTAAAAATAGTATTTTGAACAATTTGACAATTGCACTCTAGATATATCTAGCTTCGGTCACGAAAATACCAAGTATGTGGTAGCAAATTATTCGTAAGAAAATGCTCTATCTAAATATGCTAATGGGACACCTTCGTTCCATTTGAAAAAAATGAGATATGATTAAAAATACGATTTGGGCTTCTTTTAACAGGAAAAGTCACGAAAAACATTAGACAATCAAATCTATCTTTCCAAGGCTCTTTGATTAAAAATTAGTGGTTTTTACTAGATTGAGATTTAAAATACTATTTTTTCAAGCTAAAATGTCAAAAATTGACATAGGATGCAGTACATTCTAAAACTATATAATTCTGAAAGCCAAAAGTTATATTGTTATGGACTAATATTACAGAACCGAATCAAAATAAAAAAAATCAAATTAAATTAAATTAATATTCATTCACCATTTTGTCGACAAAATGTATTACAGAAAATGTTATCTCAGGCATTCTT